TTCAGTATTGAACAATCCTGTCATTCTGTGCAGCAGACATTTCCTGAGCCAAGCCAGTCCATTGAACAAATGCACAGTGCGGATCCAGATGAGATCATCATTTCATCTGTAACTTCAAGTACATTTAGAACCTAACTCCTGAATTAAACTTCCCCTTGCATAATTAGCTCCGTCTTTTTTCTCTTCTTTTATTCAGGATCACTTATCTAGCAAGATGGGAGGCAAGTCTTTCAGCCCAGTTGTGCTGAATTATACAGTGAATTCTGCAACTTGAGTCTCAGTTTCTCTAATCTGAAAGATGAAGCTATGCGAGTGCTCATCCTTCTTTGCACACAGGATTACTTTGAAGACCAAATGAGATGATGAAAGTGAAAGCACTTTGTAAAGTATATAACTGCTATGCAAGTACAGTTCCACAGACAATTACTGAATAATTTCTATGTATCAGTGCCATGAAGGACTCTGAGAATTTAAGATTGGCTAGGAAGATATTCCAAAAGAATTTCTATCATTTTTCATTAAATCTTAACATTTTCAGAAGATTAGTACATTTGACGAATTGTGAGACACCACCAGGGCTTTGATAGATGAATTATAAAAAATAAATAAGAATATGAAGAAATTAGCTTTTTGTAGAAATCATCTTAAAATAGGACTTCTTCAGGTCAAATTTCCTAAAAGAGGACAAAAGGCCAAGAATCTAAGGAAGGTTTGTTTAAATATAAAATAAACTCCTAATCAGAATGCTAACAATGATGATAACAGCCAGTACCATTGACTTTGTCCTTAGCAATTGCTAGACACCATGATATGCATTTTTATGTACTAAATCTCTCTTCTCACCACAAATTCAAGACATAGATATTTTTATTCCATTTTATAAAGGATAAACAGAGGTTCTGAGAAGTTAAATAACCATATTGCCAGGAAGTAACTGATTTCAAACCCGGGCTATCCATGTCTCAATGACTGGATGGCATGGTGTAGTGAAAAGAGCATGTAGAGAACTAGGAGTTTGGGATGGGGACAGTGTGGAGGTGTCCTGTGCAAAATGCCCAGACAGAAAAAGCTGCTTGGGAGATTCCCTAGACTTGCCCATGAGTGAGGACATCCTGGTATATAAATATTTGCAGGTAGCCATTGGGCAGACTGGCTTTCCAGGTGCCCACCAAGGCATCAGACCACCTATAGCTTAGCAAATCCAGCTATTGAAATGACGCAGCTCTGCCTTTGTGCTCACCAAGCTACTGTCAACAGCAGTTTAGTTTCCTGTGCACATTTGTCTTCTGGGAGGGAATATGCCAATTATCTGAACTTATAATTTGAGTACACTTGAACAAAATCACCAAAGACGGATGCATAGGCCAGCATGCCAGAGTGGACTGACCTCCTGAGCTCCACCAACTCTGTGTGGCTCAGATAAAATTAGCCCTCTGGATCTGCAAAACCTGATGGTGAAATGGGATTCCTTAGGCAATCCACAAAAATTCAGGCTTCTCAGAGTTTGGACCTGAGCTATTAGCCCTCATCTTTATCTTAAACTAAATTGAACAGAGAACCTACCATAGTTAAAGATTATGACCCAAACACATGGATATTAAGATACTAACTTTTCATGTTGCATCTAGACTTTTTTGGCTTATCTTAGATCACATGACAAACCACAGTACCATTTAAACACAATGGGATTTTGATTCTCATGCATAAGTTTTTAGGAAGCCGTGTTTCAATTAGTATCACCCATGAAATTTAAAAGAAACGACTAAAATACATATTTGCCTAATGCCTTTGATGTATCTAGGAGTTCCTGAAATGCCATTGGCTAGTTTGGAAGACAGTGATGCTCTGACCGTGACCGGGGACACACAAGCAGGACACTGATTGCGCACCATGCAGAATGCCTGTGGGGTATCTAGGAGTTCCTGAAGTGCCATTGGCTAGTTTGGAAGACAGTGATGCTCTGACCATGACCCTGGGCACACAAGCAGGACACTGATTGCGCACCATGCAGAATGCCTGTGGGGTATCTAGGAGTTCCTGAAGTGCCATTGGCTAGTTTGGAAGACAGTGATGCTCTGACCGTGACCCTGGGCACACAAGCAGGACACTGATTGCGTACCATGCAGAGAGCAGGAGCTCCAGGCTCAGGTGGACCTGGGTCTCATTTATAGCATATCTTGTTATTCATTGCATGAAACAGACATGTGTGGAGCCTGCCTGAACTTCAGAATTCGATTTTGTAACGTAAGAATTAAGTACGCCTTCTAAAAAATGAGAAATGATGAGCATTTCTTGTCTAAAAACACTTAAATGGTAACCTATAAGTCACTGGTCTTTGGAACACATGATTAAAATTAAGCAGAATAATCACGATAATTATTCCCAAATATTCTGCCCACAAGAGTAACAAACAATAAATAATAAACACAGAAAGTAGTCCTATAATAACTCCTTTTATACAATTCTTGTTTGGTGTGCATGTGTGGTTATTTTTTCTTTATTGCTGATCTCTAACCTGATGCTCCTTAGTTTTGTTGATAAAATCAGTGAATGGTACAATCTGTTAAAAATCATAAATATAATTTATATTCAAATACTTATCTCTCTGGTTAATAATGTAGCCCCTTTGACCATTTTATGTCTCTCTGTTTGTCATGCTGGGGGTTAGGTACAGCCTGGAACTGCAGAACTGAAGTCTTGGCATATGTTGTCAGTAGCTTGTGATAGTGGATATAACTGCTTCATCTATTGGGATTCGGAAAAGGATACTTCCAAGTCTTTCTGCTATTCTTCATGTGACTATGGGCATAACACCACACAGCCACCATTCATCCAGTTCCTGGCTGTCCCTTCTGTGTCAGACACTGTGTGCACATTTGCTCTCACTCTTACAGTGACACACAAAATGTATTCTTCCACCCAGTTTCAAATTACACAACACCAACAATAGCCAACTGAAGATCTGAGTGGTTAAGCTACTTAGCTAAAGGCAAACCGTAAAGTCACACACTGGATTCATATCCAGTTTTGATGATCGTGAAGCCCTGTGTCTTTCCATTTCACCATATTGTCTATCCTCATCTTTTCTAAGCTTCAGTTTCATCTTTTAAATACTCTAATGTGTGCTCTGTCTACTTCACTAAGTTGTTAAAATCATTCAAGAAGAAAATATGTATTCATAGACCTAGATTACAGAAGGCTATACAACTGTAGAATATCACTATGTTCTAATGAGATTAAAATATAATATGTGTAAACATATGTGTTGTAATCAATTCCATGGTAATTGTGGGTATATTTTATGAAAAAAAAATCAGAGCCAATTTAGAGTGAGGAAAGGAAAGTAATGGAGAAAGAAGGCAACACTTATTGAATATCTACTAAATGTTAAGAATATACCATATTTCGTGTAATACAAATGTTATATTATTGAGGCTAAATAATTGTCAATACAGGTTTTATATGATCTTACTCTATTAAAAAGATGCAGAAATTGAGGATCAGATGTGAAGCAACATTCCTGGTACAAGTGACAGAGTCATGATCCTCACCATTTTGGTCAAGTGTCAAATCCTACAGTCTTTCTGAGACAGCACCTGACTTGTGGCAAAGTGAGCAAGAAACAGAATCCCCTGGTGTTCAGGCCAGAGCTGGCTAAATAATACAGAAAATTATAAGCATTGGCTTTCAAATAGTCTTGCCTATAGGGTCATCTGAGAGGGCTGGTTGGAAATAAGAAAGAGATACTACCATTTAGATGGTCAGTGTCAGAAACTGTTCAGGAATGAGTTTAAGGATGAGCTCTGTGAAACTGCGATCAACACTGACCACCATTCCGATCAGTCAGTAAGGAAAATCAGTTTCCTTTTGAATTCTGTTACTGACATTAGTGACTGGACAACCTTGCACATATTACTTAGATAACTCAAGTTCTTCATATGTAAACTGGGGAAAGTAATAGCCAACATTCTAGGCCAGCAGGAGCTGGAGGTAAGTAAATGCCATTTACCTTTCCTGCTTCTCTAGGGCATATCGTATCTTAAACTTCTCAGAGGATTTCTGAAGCTCTGCCATTTCTCTGGTAGGCCTTCAATTAACTAGGTCTACCATTGTCTTCTTGATATTTGCAATGCTTATTCCTGGTGGGTTGGGAGACCCCTGGGAATCCAAAGAACAACGCTTTTGAGATGCTGTGCCACAACACAGGTGAAGAGAGACAACCAGAGAAATAGCCAGGTAGGTAACAGACAAGTGACACTGGTAACAGATAAGCCAGATGAGTAACACTGTGTAAACTAATAAAAAGAGTATTGATAAAAAGTTTAGACATATCAACACCTTTTAAAATCAAAGTATCTATCTTTTGATGGTAGTTATTTTCTTTTCTGTCCCACTCCAGTTTGCTTTATCCAAAAAAAACCAGGCAGAGACGACTCCTGGCTCTTTTCAAGAGTAAGGATTTAACCCCAACTTTAACCTCACTTTTGAGCTCCTCACTCACGTGAGTGGAAAGATGTCTGTGTGATTCCAAAGTCTAAGTCTCCTCTACACCAAAGCAGAAAGAAAATCCTATTACTTTAGAAAATGTTAAAAATATATTTCCACAGGGCTCCAGGAGTTAACTTCTACTTTGAATGACCTACTTTGAATGGAGGCTTTCTTTCTAGGGGGCTTTCTTAATGAAGATCAGCCAGGAAAGCCAGCCTTGGGGCCTGGTCTTTAGATTTCAGTTGCAAACAGTCAGGGAGTCCAAGCTCCAGGAAAAGAAGATTGAAAACATTTAGTCTTTCAATTTTCTATGGGCAAGTATCTTGATTCCTTCTCCCAAAGAATGAAAGAATCTTTTAACAATTGAGTTAAGGACTTTCTTCTTGCTCCTTTGATGCTATAGAGAAGGCCCAGACTTCCATGTTGGCTTGGTGCTCAAGTCTTTCCTATGATCATTTATAATGAGATGACCATGAAATGCCCACTCGGACAAGCTGGCCTAATGAGTTTACCTGAACAGCGTGGAAGGCACCAAAGGCTGAGGCGACCGTCTCCTGTGATGAGGGGAGGCAATGCAGAGATCTCGGGGGTGCTGGAAATTAGTAAGGCCGTGTGTTGAATTGTTTCTCAATGCTGAGCAGTGCCTTTCAGCAGAAAACCTCCTGATAGGTCCCTTTTAGGTTTGGTTTCCTGTGACATGCAGCCACAGACCTGAGAGTTCTGACCCAAGGGCCAGCAGGACTTCCTCTTCTTAGGCTGCAGTGCAATAAATGAGGCTTTCAGAGGCTAAAATCTTCCGACCCTAGCACCTGTTTCCTCTTCTAGGGACTTGACATTCTAGTTTTATGCAAATTGATGCTGAATTGCATAACAAACTCCAAGATTATTTACAATAAATTCAAAGGTAGAGGTTTATATTTCCTTGGGTAAATAATTCTGGTTTTGACTTAACATACACCCCAAGGAAAACACTAAAATAAGCACTCGATGAATGCTAATTACGAGTCAGTCACATTGCTAAGCAACTTAACAGCATTATCCTCCTTAATCTCACTAATAACCATGTAAGGAGCATACTTTAAACCCCATTTTGTAATTGTGAACACTGAAGACTAGGGAAACTGGAGTAATTTAACCACTTTATCAATTAGCTTTTGCTGCATCAGGGGCTTAAAGTGGTAACCATTTTATTTAGTTCATGATTGTGTGTGTGTCACTTGCTCATTTCTTTTGGTCTGGACCTATATTAATTTTCTAGAGTTTTCATAAAAACGTCCCGAGCACTGAGTGGCTAACAAAACACAAGTTCAAACTGTATTGTCTCACAGTCCTCGCCTCTGGAAGTCTGAGATTAAGGTGTTCAGCAGGGTCAGTTCCTCCTGAGGGCTGTAAGGGCAGGATCTGTTCCAGATCTTTATCCTTGGCTTGTGGGTGTCTTTGTATCCCTGCTTTTGTGTTTACATGGCATTCCCCCTGTGTCTGTCCAAATTACCCCTTCTTAATCCGGACAGAAGCCACAGTGAATGATGTCTCACCCTGATCACCTGATTTTAACTTGATTACCTCTTTAAAGACCTGTCTCTAAGTCAGATGGCATTCTGAGGTATTAGGGGCTTAAGACTTTAACAAATGAACTTTAACAGGGAGATATTTGTCCCATAATGAGACTTGATCAACTGATCTGTGCTAGTGGGTTGGGAGGCAGTTGGATGATCTAGGATTATCACATTCATGCATCTGTTGGTTGGCAGTCATGTCAGCCAGGTGCCTCGGTTCTCCTCTGCATAGCTTCCTGTTATCTAGCAGGCCATCTTGGCCCATTTACATGGTGGGTTTGGGGCTCCAAGGATAGTGGGAGAGGGGAAGTCCCAGCTTCCAGCCTTTTCCAGGCCTCTGATTGCATCCTGTTTGCCATGCTCCCATTGGCCAAAGCAGGTCACATGGCCAAGTTCAGAGTGAACGCGGGAGAAAATTATTCTAGAGGTTAATACAGAAAAGTGAATTATTTGGTCTTTATTGGAAAATAATCTAAAATCCATGTTCACATCCAATTGATGGCTAGACCACAATAAGAACTCAAGTCTATGAATATTCTTGCTTTTTACCAAGGAAGAACTGAAGACAGTTTGGTCTAATGAGAAAGTTGATAACAGTGTAGGTGATATTTATAGCATTTTTCTTGGAATATCATTCATTAATTCATTATCTGTTGAATATGTACCATGTATCAGGAGCTCTATTAGGTGCTGAAAAATAAAATTAGGTAAGAGATGTGCCTAATCCTTTGATGGAGCTTATGGCGTAGAAGAGGTGAAAACAAATGAATGGACTTCAGATATATATAAGACTACAATTACTAGTAAATGTAATGAATAGTTGCATTTACTGATCAGGCATGTATTGACTAAACATGTAGATATTTTAACATGTTCTGTTTGAATAGATTTCAAGTAGTTAACAGATGTGTTATGCCCATATATTCTTACCTGCTTGTATTTGCAAGATAATTTTATCATTTCATGCATTAACAATGATAGGAGATTAGTAGTAACAAACTCTTTTTAAAGGAGAGAATCGGTCAGGTTATGTAACTCGTCTACATTTATCCAATTAGTGTAACTGGGTGGGATTTGACCTAAGCCAGTATAACTCCAAAACCTGACAAGTAGATATTCACATCCTCTACCCACTACTACCAGGCACTGGGCACTGGGGATATATAGGTGCAAAAAAATATCTTGTCCCTCCTTCATGGAGTTTAGAATCTAATAGGATAGAGAGGTATTGAACAAGAAATAAACCATTAAGATAGGAACAAAGAGGGTCTGAAATGTGTAAGAGGCAAATGGGTTCTACTCTGTGAGTTCAGGCAAGATTTCCTCTGCAGAGGTGCCAAGAAAGCTGGGGTGTTGATAATAAGTAGACATTTGCTGGACCAGAAGTGGAGAAAAAAGGGGAGGGAAGAAGAAAGAAGAAAGGAAGGAAGAAACAAAGAAGGCTTCTAAGAAGGAAGGAAGCAGGAAAGAGAAGAGGAGGGAGGGGAGAAGGGAAGAGTAAAGCAGGTGTCTGGGAGCACATTTAAGACCAAAGGTATTGTCATTCTGGATGCCTGGGTGGGAAAAACAGCATAGCTCACTGGAAAAGCCTATATAGCAAAAGGTGGCTAGAATGGAGAGGGAGCAAGGAAGCAGCAAGGGAGGCCAGCCGCAAGTTCTAACTCGCATGTTCTTGCTGCCTGTCCCACATTCCACAGTTAGAGGGACTCCCTTGTGTTCATCTTCTCTTTGGGTGATCATTCGTTTTGTGTTCGTTGCTTTATGAGTTTTCTTGCCTCTTATCCCCCATCCCCCTCTTTCATAGTTTATTGTGTTCATGGACCCTGAGTCATAATAAGAAGTATAAATCCAGAGACATATGGGTTTTGCCAACCAGGTTACAATTATCCAGATGTGTCACAGAGTGGGTGCCTAGATCTGGGCAAGGAATTTGACTACTCAGGGTGCCATATGTAACATAAGGATAATAATACTTACTTGGAGGAGTGGCTATTAGGATAAAATTACTTACCTCCTGCAAAGGTCTAGTATGTGCCTAGCTATAATTAGCATTAGCCCCCATGGCTTTTGTTGGGCCTGTCTCACAGTGCCACTAAAGCATAGTATGGGACCATCAGAAATACTCAGCTGCGGATAAGTGATTGAATGGAGTATGTGCCATATATAGAGAGCTGAATCTATGTTCAAATGGGATATTTCTGAGTCAATGCTTGACCTACCGATTTTGGTAAGTTTTTACTTTCTGGATAATCTACTCAAGGCATGAAACTCTTGGGTAGATCATGTGGAAGAATTACAGGGAGCAAAACAAACAAACAAACAAGCAAGCAAAAAACAAGGAGAAAAATCCCAAACAGGACTTTTAAGGTCAATCATATTCGAGTAGGACCATGGTGCCTGGATGACTGGGAAAGAGCTTTTCCTGGCTCTCGCATGACCTGCTGGGAGGCTACTTTGCCTGGCTCTCGCATGGCCTGCTGGGAGGCCACTTTGCCTGGCTCTCGCATGGCCTGCTGGGAGGCCACTTTGCCTGGCTCTCGCATGGCCTGCTGGGAGGCCACTTTGCCTGGCTCTCGCATGGCCTGCTGGGAGGCTAATTTGCCAGGTGACTGTCAGGTTTTGGAGTTACACTGGCTTAGGTCAAATCCCACCCAGTTACACTAATTGGATAAATGTAGACGAGTTACATAACCTGACCGATTCTCTCCTTTAAAAAGAGTTTGTTACTACTAATCTCCTATCATTGTTAATGCATGAAATGATAAAATTATCTTGCAAATACAGGCAGGTAAGAATATATGGGCATAACACATCTGTTAACTACTTGAAATCTATTCAAACAGAACATGTTTAAAATTTTTTTCAGCTTCGGCTATGCATTTAGTGTGTATGAGAAAAAAACTGACATTTTTATCTATGCTTTAAATATCATTTTTATTATTTTAACCTTTTAATTTTGAAGCAATTACAGACTCACAAGAAAGAAAAAAAATAGCACAGAAAGGTCCTATGTAGTACCTGCCACCCAGTTTTCCCCCAAGAAACAGATTTCTTATGAATAAACATTTTGTGCAGAAACAGATTTGATTCTTAATTCACTTCCTCTTTCTAAAATTGAGGCAGTGTGCTGGGGGAAAAATAAAAGATGGCAAAACCTTACCTAACCTTACCACTTTCTCGCTGTTTTTGCTAACTAAGTTTTCTTTTTCTTTATTCTTCTCTTTGTTTTGTTTGTTTGTTTGTTTGAGACAAGATCTTACTCTGTCACCAAGACTGGAGTGTGGTGACGCTATCATAGCTCACTGCAGCCTTGAACTCCTGGGCTCAAGTGATTCTCCTGCATCAGCCTCCTGAGTAGTTGGGACTGCAGGCACACGGCATTGCACCAGGTGAACTTTCTTTAGTTTTGTAGAGGTGGGATCTCCCTATGTTGACTAGGCTGGTCTCAAACTCTTGATCTCAAGCAATTCTCCATTTAGGCCTCTCAAAGTGCTGGGATTACAGGTATGAGCCACTATACCCTGTCCTCTTTTGAAATGTTTCCAACAAGACAAATTTAAATGATGAAAGAAGTCCCTGGTTTTGGGTAAACACCCTGACATTATTCAGTGTTTGGTTTCATCCTTTCAGCTGGTAATGACTGCCAAGTTCAGGCTCCTGTCACAGCTAGTCTCAGGCTGGTTTCCAGGCCTGGGGTTGCACCTTGCAACTTACACACACACACACAGCCTCAAAACAAAAGAGAACTATTGAACAGTATCACAGAAGGGTGTGTTGTTTGTTTAAAGAATTCCTAGTTCAGAGTGCTAGCTTCTTCAATGGATTACAACCCATGTTTTTTTTTTAACAAATTATATGAGTGGAAACCTGTGTTAATTAGTGCCAGTATCTCTGATTTATTACAGTTTAGCACCTGTTTACATTGGTGCCTCGGGCAGTTTGACTCCAGGCCCTTGAGAGGAGCTCAACTCACACTAATTGCTGTTCCCATCTCATCTCATGGCCTGTCTCCTTCAGGACACATGCTATGAGCCTCCCCACAATTAACTGTGATTTCTTTTTCACACCGCTAGAACTCTTGAAAGGGGAAGCTCCATGTGAACTTAAGTCATGTCCTCTGCTGGATTTCGGATGTTCTGAATTTTAACTGCCACGGTCTACGGCATGAGTTACACAATATTCATGG